ACGGGATTTTTAAAAATCAATTTAAATTTAGGAGCCACAGGTGGCTGGCGGCTGCCCTTTCGGGAGCCCAGTTCCAGAGGGAGAGACAAACAACAGACAAATACGTAAATATTCTTTCCTCCCTCCTCCTTTTGACACAAATAGACACATAAATTTTAAATACCGAAAAGTGCTATTAAGCAAGCAAAGCAGGGTACGGAGTGACAAGGACTGAGGTTAAAGGGCGGGATGTGGGGGCGAAGCTGCAGGAGGCTGAGTCAGGCCGCCAAGGGCCTTGAATGCCACGCCAAGGAGCTGGGATTTCATTCTGCCTGCAACAGAGCATTCGAGGCCTTTCGGGCAGGGTCACAGACGCGGCAGGGCCTCGGAGATGTTTCAGGGGTGAAATGGCAGGAAGAGAAGGCACCTCGATGAAGGGGAGAACCCCCAGAGCAAGCAGATGAACAATAATCTTAGCTAGCTCCGAGTCGAACAGTCAGGGCCCAGGCCCCTAAGAGACACTCTTCTCTCCAGCTTCTAAGTGTGTCCTTTCAGTAGTTGTTGAGGGTTCTTCACTTGTCACCTGGAACTTTCTCGCATTCAGTTTGGACTTCGTTCCCCACCGAGGTATGGCTGGAGCCAGTGCATTTAGACACTCAACATGGCCCTGCCCATCAGTCCCCCAGAATGGATTCTGTTAACATATCCTACCTCCCAATAAGCAAATTATTTCTGTAATCCCAAATTAGTGTCTGTTTAATGCAATCCCAGTCAAAACTCTATTTGATTTTACAGACGATTCTGATTTATGACACTTGATCTGTGTGAATAGGTTATCAAAATAACCCGGAACTGTTTTGCAAAAGAAGAAGAAGAAGGAGGAACTCATGCTACCAGTTATTAAAACATGCTCTAATCTACAAAAGAAAATTTTTTTAGTGAGGCATAAGTGTAAACTCAATGGCTAGATAAGAAGCATGGAACAGACAACCCAGAAATGCCCCTGTATATATAAAATTTAACGTATGACAAAGATGGTTTCACAAATTACTGAGAAAAGATAAAACAATACGTGCTACTAAGATCATTGAGAATTTTCAAGAAAAACGGTTAGAGTTCTGTCTTATATCGTAACCTAAGGTCAATTCAATTCCAGATAAGTTCATGTAAAAAGTAAAGCTAAAACACTCTAAGAAAATACAAAATAATATGTCTCGGCCAATGAAAAAGGCCACAAGAGGAGAAGATTGATAAATTTGCTACCCAAAAATTTCACATGTAAAACATGAAAAACTAAAAGGTAAATGAAAGACTGAGAAATTTTTGCAACCAATAAAGTACTGATATGTTTAATGTAGAGAGAACTCTCAAATTAATAAAACCACTGAGCAATCACAATATAAAAATGGCGTAAACAGAAAATCTACAAAGGAAGAATACAAATAGTAAGTCTTTGAAAAGTATTCAACCTTATTAGCAATCAAGAGAAAACACAAATCACACAAAAACGGTTTCATCCTATCTAATTGGCGAGATGTTCATGGTAGTAGTTTATGTAGGGTGAGCGGTAAGTCGGGCGCTCTCGATCCCTGCCTGGGGAAGGGCCAGTGGGTGTAAAAACTTGGCCATATGGGTCGAGAGAACTCAAAACGTTGCTGCTTTTTCACCCAGTGCTTCTATTTCTAAGCATTTATCCAAAGTTATCAGAAGTAAGGACTCAGGGTGCATCAACTGCAGTTTTGTTGCAAAGAGCCAAAAATTGGAAATAAATGTCCAACAAAAGTTAAATGGCTAAATACATTACGTATGGTATATCTCTCCACTGTAGTATCATGCAGCCATTTTTTAATTTTGTTCCATGTTTATAGAAATGGGGGAACCTTTCAAGTGAAATGAAGAAACGACAATATCAGGGGTGATTTTTTTTTCTCCTTTACATTTCAGTGCATTTTCTGGATTATCTATAGTGATTTTGCTTTCATGATAAGAAAATAAAGTTCATACCTATTTTCTAATGCTCATATAAGTGCCACTTGCCAACCCCAGGTAAGCATCTTGCTTCTGATGTGCCATCAATTAAGGCACCTGGAGAGCCCAGCCGCAGCTCACCTGCAGCATGCCCTCCATCACCCACCCACCCACCACCTCAGAACATCTCAGCACTATTGTTGCTTTTCTGTATCCGTTTGCCTCCAAACGAGAACAAGTGACCTGCATCCTCATGTGCTTGCTTTGGGCCAGTTCCCACTGCCCTTCCCTGAGGAAGAAAGAGAAGAATATGATCTTTCATCTTTACATGCACCCACTCGCAGGCCACTGGTGCTTTCCTGGGTGTTTGCTCAGGGTGCCAGTTGGGATAGGTGCAACTCAGAAATAAACGCTAGTTTCTTTTGCCTAGTGAAGAAACACTGACCCTGTCTTTGTTTTTGTCCTACAGATATGATGCAGCCTTCCGTGTTTAGCCATTGGAGCACTTACAATTTTCTGTGCTGAGATCATTCTGGAAACTTAAACACTAAACTTCAGCATCGAAGGGAAGCCAAAGCCATCGGAGGGGGAATAAAGCCAAAAGCCTTTCTTTGACCTTATTTCTTCCAAAAATTTCACCGCCCCTTCTCTACGCGCCCCCCTCACCCCCTCCAAAAAAAAATCATAGTAATAAGCCATCGCACACACAGACAGGCAGCATGGCGAGCAAACGGAAGTCTACAACCCCGTGCATGGTTCGGACATCGCAAGTCCTGGAACAGGATGTGCCCGAGGAAGGAGATAGGGCCAAAGAGAAAGGGACCGGCACGCCACAGCCTGAAATGGCCAAGGACAGTTGGGCAGCGGAACCTGAAAACTCTTCCAAAGAAAATGAAGTGATAGAGGTGAAATCATCGACGGGCGAGACCCCATCCAAAAAGCTCCAAGGCGGTTACGAGTGCAAATACTGCCCCTACTCCACGCAGAACCTGAATGAGTTCACAGAGCACGTGGACGTGCAGCACCCCAACGTGATTCTCAACCCCCTGTACGTGTGTGCCGAATGTAACTTCACAACCAAAAAGTATGACTCTTTGTCTGACCACAACTCCAAGTTCCATCCCGGAGAGACCAACTTCAAGCTGAAGTTAATCAAGCGCAATAATCAAACTGTCCTGGAGCAGTCCATTGAAACCACCAACCACGTCGTGCCCATCACCACCAGCGGCCCTGGTGGCGGTGGCGGTGACGGTGACCCTGGCATCTCGGTGAGTAAAACTCCCATCATGAAGCCAGGGAAACCGAAAGCCGATGCCAAGAAGGTGCCCAAGAAGCCTGAGGAGGCCACGCCCGAGAACCACGTGGAAGGGACTGCCCGCCTGGTGACGGATGCAGCCGAGATCCTCTCCAGACTCGGAGGCGTGGAGCTGCTCCAGGAGCTGGGGCATGTCATGCCTTCCGTCCAGCTCCCACCAAATATCAACCTTGTCCCCAAGGTCCCCGTCCCACTGAATACTACCAAATACAACTCTGCCCTGGACACCAATGCCACCATGATCAATTCCTTCAACAAGTTCCCTTACCCGACTCAGGCTGAGCTGTCCTGGTTGACAGCTGCTTCCAAACACCCAGAAGAGCACATCAGGATCTGGTTTGCCACCCAGCGCTTAAAGCATGGCATCAGCTGGTCGCCGGAAGAAGTGGAGGAGGCCCGGAAGAAGATGTTTAATGGCACCATCCAGACAGTCCCCCCGACAATCACTGTGCTGCCCGCCCAGCTGGCCCCCACAAAGATGTCGCAGCCCATCCTCCAGACAGCTCTCCCGTGCCAGATCCTCGGCCAGACCAGCCTGGTCCTGACCCAGGTGACGAGCGGGTCGACCACTGTCTCTTGCTCCCCCATCACGCTTGCCATGGCCGGAGTGACCAACCACGGCCAGAAGAGACCTTTAGTAACTCCCCAAGCTGCCCCCGAGCCCAAGCGTCCACATGTCACTCAGGTGCCAGAACCCCCACCCAAGGTGGCCACCCCTTCGCTGACCCCGTCCAGTGACCGCAAGAAGACAAAGGAGCAGATAGCGCATCTCAAGGCGAGCTTTCTTCAGAGCCAGTTTCCCGACGATGCCGAGGTCTACCGACTCATCGAGGTGACCGGCCTTGCCAGGAGCGAGATCAAGAAGTGGTTCAGTGACCACCGGTATCGATGTCAAAGGGGCATCGTCCACATCACCAGCGAATCCCTTGCCAAAGACCAGTTGGCCATCGCAGCCTCCCGACACAGTCGCACGTACCACGCGTACCCAGACTTTGCCCCACAGAAGTTCAAAGAGAAAACACAAGGTCAGATTAAAATCCTGGAAGACAGCTTTCTGAAGAGCTCTTTTCCGACCCAAGCAGAACTGGATCGGCTAAGGGTGGAGACCAAGCTGAGCAGGAGGGAGATCGACTCCTGGTTCTCGGAGAGGCGGAAGCTTCGGGACAGCATGGAACAGGCCGTCTTGGATTCCATGGGGTCTGGCAAAAAAGGCCGAGACGTGGTGGCCCCCAACGGTGCTCTGTCTCGACTTGACCAGCTCTCTGGCGCCCAGCTAGTCAGTTCTCTGCCCAGCCCTTCACCAGCAATCACAAAAAGTCAAGAACAGGTTCATCTCCTGAGGAGCACGTTTGCAAGAACCCAGTGGCCTACGCCCCAAGAGTATGACCAGTTAGCAGCGAAGACCGGCCTGGTCCGAACTGAAATTGTGCGTTGGTTCAAGGAGAACAGATGCTTGCTAAAAACTGGGACCTTGAAGTGGATGGAGCAGTATCAGCAGCAGCACGTAGCGGAGGACCACGGCTACGACTCCGTGTCGAGGAAAGCAGCTAAGGCCGTCGTCACCGAGAGCCCAAAGAACGGGAGTGGGGTGGGCCAGCAATATTACAAGGACCCCAAAAAGCTCTGTGAAGAGGACTTGGGGAAAGTGGTACCCAGGGTAAAAGCGGGAAGCGAGCAAGCAAAGGACGGTTTGCCGGCAAAGCCCTCAGAGGCCGCCTCGGACAGGTCAGAGGGGAGCAGCCGGGATGGCCAGGGCAGCGACGAAAACGAGGAGTCAGGCGTTGTGGATTGGGTGGAGGTGACGGTCGGCGAGGAGGACGCCATCTCAGACAGGTCGGACAGCTGGAGTCAGACGGCGGCCGAAGGCACAGCAGAGCTGGCCGACTCGGACTCCGACAGCGCCCCCGCCCCCGCCGAGGCTGGCCGGGCCTAGACAGGTAATGCCACCTGTTCCCCCCGGGCAGACGGGGGAGGATGCTGGGTTTCTTTCTTCCTGTTGCCAGAGTCAGTCTAGTTTGTATAGTACAGAGATGTTGACAAAGATGATGGGTTCTTTTTTTTTTTAGGAAAAAATCTACTAGGGGCTAGTAGATTTCTCATCCTCATTGGAAAGGCTGTGTCGATGGTGGCAGCGCGGCTGCCTGTGGCAGTTTGGAGATCTCCCTTTGCCACCTGTCCCTTTTAAAGTCTGGTTGCGGCTGTAACAGTATGTCTTCCGCCTGTTTGGTGTTTGCCGCTGTAAGAAACAAACATAAAAATTACGTGTCTTTCCCTTTTTTCTTTTTTCTTTACGCTTTTGGATTTTTTTATAGTAAGTATCCAAGTTTACCGGCTAGAGAGTAGGGGTCATTTCTGTCAACCTGAAACATTTCGGTGTTTGCCTCGTCACGGCTGACGGAAGGTACACTATGTGTCACATGAAGTGACCCTTCTCCTAACCGTGCTGATTGGGTGCCCGGAACCCGTTCATATCTGAGAGAGACTGGTATAAATTTAGGCCTGTGGAGCCACAAAAGGCTGGGAAGGGAGGTTACCATGGTTACTAATGGCCATGTCATCCACATAATGGGACATGCCACCCAAACCCTTGGTATTTGCGCTTCACAAAAGGTCCATGCAAATCAGGGCCTAAAGCACAGCGGCTTGCTTGGTGGTGAGTTTAGAAATGGGGGTCAAGGGTAAGGGGGTAGCAAGGAGAGGGATTCAGGAGGGAAAGGCCCACCTGAGCCAAAGCAAAAATAGTCCGAGGGCAGTTTGGAACCACGAAGAAGATTCCAGATTTACAATCTGCCCGGGTTCGTTGGCTTCTCCAGAGGTCACTTAAAAGGCAACAGGTGGGCCTCCCTGCCATGTCATCTTTTAAAATAATAAAAGTAATGACTTCCAGAATGATTGATAAGGCCCCAAAGGGAGCCCCGGAAGTTGTCATGCCTCTTTATTAATAAATTCGGACAACGTTGGCTGGCCATGTCACTCATCCATGTGTTTATTTGCTAATAAAATGAGGCACCTGGCAAAAAAAATTAAGTCCTCCAGAAACCTTATTTGAGCCAGTTCCGTCGGCTATTAAAAGAGCACTTTCATGAGCAGCCAATCACAGAATGCCATCAAGCCGTCTCTGACTTTTCAGGAGGAAGTGGTAATGTGTCGTTGGTGAGGATGCAGCCCAGACGGTGGGGGGCTCGTGACGGGAAGAGGCTACAGGCCGCTGGAGTCACCAGTAGCACCAGCTACTCACGTCCATCTCGCGACCTCAGTCTTGCCCTCCGTCTGTTCATTTTCCTGCTTCTTACGAACCTTCGTCAGTCCAACCACAATCTCCCTCGTTGAAATGAAGGAGCAATTGTTTTTGTCCAGTCAGAATCTACCTGAAAGCTCCTAGCTTTCCCCATCTTCTGTCCTTGATCTTTTCTGATATATGACATAAGCGCACGTGATTACTTTTTCCTCCAACCACTGAGTAGACAGTACGTTCAATTCAATTCGACAGACATGTTCTGTATACCCACTGTGTGCCTGTCCCTGTGCCAGGCACTGGAGATAATGGGATGAAGAAGATGGGTGGCAGAGTCTTTCTTTGGGCCAACGAGTGGGGAAATTGCTGTCCCCTTTACTAGCCAGGGCAATCCGTGGTATGAGGGAGACATACACATCTGCATGTGGCAGCATACAGGAGGGGCCCCCGGGCTGGGGATCAGGGAAGGCTTCCTGGAGGAAGGGACATCTGATTCAGGGGCTAGCTGATGGGAAGGAGTTAGCCAAGTACACAGACCAGTTAGAGAGTAGTTCGAGTGGAAGAAACAGACGAGGCGAAGGTCTGGAAACAAGAAAAGGAATGGTGCTGTTGAGAAGTCAAGTTTGGAGATCGGTAAACGATGAGAAGAGGCAAAGGAACAAACGAAAGAAAACCCCGTGGTTTCCCACAGCAGGCAAAAGCTGCTCTGAACCAGTGGTGTTTGCCGAGTCTGGCTCTGAGGACGCTGGGTCCCTGCATCCCAGAGTGAGCTTGGATGCCCGTCACCCAGTGGGAGGTGGTGCAGGGGCGGGAGCTCCCCAAAGGCTCCCGAGGCCACCTGTCCCCACCTCTTCTCTCCCATTTGTACCACCACCAACAGTTGAAAATGCCCATCTGGGCTGGCTGCCCCTGTGCCTGACCCCCGCCCCTGGCCCAAGGGAAACGGAAGGGGAAGCGGTGCCAAAACCACAACGAGAAGCTTTGGGAAGGACAGAGGGAGGCCGCAGGGCAGGGCAGGGCCTCCCGAGTAGCAAGGGCTGAGCTCGGTGCTCTGGCCACGGATGGTCTTAGTGGCTCTGACAGGTAAGTTATCCGTGTTTTTATAAACCCAGAACTGAGATTCAGAAACCAAGGAACTTCGCACATTCCCCCAGGCTCACCTCGGCTCTGAGGTTAAACGCACAGATCAGGAATCCTTCTCAAGCCTGAAATCGTGTTGTCTTGGTTCAGTCTCCGGGTGCAGACAATTACTGAGCCTTCCACTGAGAGACTTGTAAAAGGGCTGAGAAATAAATATCTCCTTTTCTGCAAAGGAGTCAGAATACTTGAGCGAGACGTCGTTAGACATATGCCTTGATGCCTGGCCAGGCGGAACAAACAGTGCGGCCCACTGCCACGAAGGATTTCTGCTCGTTCGCATGCGCCACGCGCTTAGCGCATCCTTCCGCGCACGTCTAGGACGTCATTTAAACTTCACGACAGCCCTCTGAGGTCGGAGTGGCTCTTTCTCCCATTTTACAGAAGGCAAAACTGAGACTTCGAGAGACTCGTCCTGGGTTCCTCGGCCAGCAGCTGCTGGAGCCTGGAGGCCACCTCTCGCCTGTCAGGCCAGTGCCCGACCACTGCCTCCGACAGTGACACCACAGAGCCAAACCAACAGGACGTGGTCATTTCTTACCTCTGTGTGCGTGGAGACTAATACACAACTATTCCTTCCCCGCTTTGCTGCCTCCTGATTTCTTACAATTTCCATCTCCTGATAATTAGGGATGGCTTTGCGGATGAGGAAAATTTTGTGACATCTCAGGAAAAAAAAAATTTCCATAGTTTAGCTTGCTTAAAATACTCAAGGCTGACAAGTGTTGCACCCTGGCTGTAATTTAGGATCCAGGAAATGTATGCCCCCCATAATCTGTTCAGATTAGCTGTCCAAACACAGATATTTGGATGGATGGATGGATGGATGGATGGATGGATGGATGGATGGATGGATGGATGGGATGGATGGATGGATGGGATGGATGGATGGAGGGATGGATGGATGGAAATGTTGTAATTATCTGTGTCCCTGTCTCTCCACCAGACCCTGGAAGGCGGGGACCATATCCCATTGATCTCTGAATCCCAGTGCCTGACTTAGAACAGATGCTCAATAACAATTTATCAAACACACATAAGAATTAACAAAGATAGTTGGCTTTTAATTATCCAAGGTCTGGTGTTTCCGTCCTGTTGCGTCTCATTGTTTTCCATCACTCATTGGCCTCTTTAGATGACAGGGGAGTGGGGACAGTTTGCTCCCATGTGTGTGAGCGGCCTGAGGGCAAGGCCTGTTGCAGACTGGCTCCCTGGGTATTGACTGGACGATGCTTCTCAGGGACTACACAACAGCCTCGCTGCCCTGGTACCGAACGGAGAGTAACTGTTGTCACTTCCATTTACCTAATTCTGGAGCTTCTCACACAGGAATTCTCACTGTGCTTTGAGCTGTTGAGCGTCAGTTGCATCTCAGAGAGGCTGGGGGTGGGGGAGCTGGGCAAAGACAAGGGGTAACATTGGCTGAGCGCCTACTGCATCAGGCGCTGCTCAAGCACTTTATGTCTTAACATTTCGCTGAAGTCAACGTCATTCTCCTCATTTTACGGCTGATGAGAATGCAGCACAGAAAGACGGCATGTCCAAGGTCATTGAGCTAAGAAGCGATGGAGCTGGGATTCAAACCCAGAACCATGCACGTAACCAAACTGGGAGTCTGCCTAGTGAGTTTCAAATAGAATTCCATTTGCTCAAATTCTGTTAACCCCACTGGATAGTATCCACGGATGGAAAAAGGACAGGGAAGGCCAGTGGCCTGTCTTATTCATTTTGCTTAAGCCTCCCTGTGAGGGGAATTTTTACGTGATTCATAAGTCTCAGCAATATCCCAACCCCAGAAGCTCCCAAACCGCTACGGGCAAAGAGCTTCAGCCAGATGTGCCAGGGGTGACCACGGCCTGGTGTGGGGCGACTCAGGATGCTGTGCCGTTTGCCCCGTCCCTCTCCACGCTACCACATTTCCTTATCTCAATTCTAATTAAAATCAGATATGCCCTCTCTTAGTAAAAGAAAGTTTGACTCAGAAATACAATTGAGAGATAATAAATCACTGTCGCGGTGCTTATTTTTCCGTCGCAGGGAGCACAGGGTTCCTCTGTCCTGAATCCACAGGGCTTCGGGAAATCCCTACAGGAAAAATGAAAGAGAAGCAGAAACAAAAAGCTATCACGTGGGAAAGGAATTCTAACTGTTTCATGTTTCCCTAACGGGTAAAGTAATATGAAAGCAGATTTTGCTCAAGAATTAGATAGTACTTTTTTACCATTCCACGTTGTCCCCCAAGACAGAAATGGACGGCTATGGGCAGCAGCGTGTTCCCTGTCCTCAGCAGCGTTCAGGAAGAGGCTGAGCATCCGCTCGGTAGAATGTTGGAACAGTGGCCCTGCGCAAATGGGCCCAATGACCTTGCACCGTCCTCCCAGAGCTGAGACCTGCTGCTCTGGCAGGAGGCTGTAGAGTTTCTCTGCGGTAGGGAACGTCTGTGATCAAGAGCGTACCACCGTCCTCCCAGAGCTGAGACCTGCTGCTCTGGCTGTAGAGTTTCTCTGCGGTAGGGAGCGTCTGTGATCAAGAGCGTATGATTCCAGGTAGAAACCCAGAAAATGAGCAAGAGGCCACATGGTCAAAATCATGGTGATACTCTTAAAAAAAAAACACAGAAATGCAAACTTTGTCACCAACCCTGTGTGACCAACCACCTCTAACGTCACAGTGCTCTCTTCCCATTTTCATTCGCGAATGCACGTCTGAGTATCCTCAGTGGCCAGACACGGTGCTGGGAGGGGGCGGCAGGGGTCAGCAGCAAACTGTGGGCACCATCCGCATCCCGACGGGCCTCACAGGAAGTACGGTGAGCCAGGCGAGGTGAGGACAGCTGTGCCGGGGAAGCCCCGGTGTGGAGATGTTTACTAAGAACTGACGACTCTGGGACGAGGCCTTCTGGGGAAGTGGCCTGCAGGCTGGTCTTTGCTGCCTAGGGGAAGGTCATCAGGCCCTGAGGGAGAAACCACCCCAGCCTCTCCTTCTGCCCCCACAGCTACCCTGGGAAAGGTCGATGGAGAATTTTAGTCCAGCGGTTCCAGGGGTGCCCCACAGACTCCTGGGATCTCTGCAAAAGACAAAAAAAAAGTGCCTTCGTCCCCCTTTCTCCTAGTCACCCCTTTGGCCTTGCAACCTGTTGGTTATTTTTTAAAGGGCCTTGTTTAGCTTTCTTTATCTCTATTAATGCATGTGGTTGGAGGACTATGCATGTTTGTGTCCGTAGAAATTACACACGGAGTCACAAAAACTCTGCCAGATGGAGAACCACCTTCATACTGCGGTTTCTCTAAAAAAAGTCCGTTTTTGCTCATCACTGGAAGAGACTGGGTTCCGTTTCATTTAGGAAAGAGAGATAAAGGGAGACAATGTATGCTGTGACACACATAGGTGAGCTCGCTTGCACCTGTTTTACACCTGGCCTTCCTCAAGGGAAGACGAAGCGATATTTGTGGAGCAGCCGCCTGCCCTGCACGCCTCATCTGTAACCGTCCCAGCAGCCTGTCGGGTATGAATCATGGAAATGAGGCCCGGGGAGGCTGACTGACCTCGGCACACAGCTAGGAAGTGGCAGACCCCGGATCCAGCTCCACGGCCCCCTCCACTCTGCCCCGCCACGGCCGGTGCCCACAGTCCCGGGCTGACCTGGAGTTCGTCAGCCCGCGTGGGGGAAGGAAGACCAGTAGCCGTCTATGCACCCCAAGCCTGTTTCCTGGAGTCCAAGCAGAGGCAGCCTCCTTTCCAGAGTCAGTGAAAGACACCCTGTTTGTTGGGGAAACACCTGTTCTGTGGGATGCACAGGAGGCCGGCTGTGGTCCACGTGCCCACCCCCGGGGTACGTGCGGCTCTACACGGGGCCGCCAGCCCCTGCCTTTGAAGCAGACGTGCTCTCTCCTGTCACGTGGTGGCTCCGTGCAAGGAGAGGCTATGTGTGTAGGACAAGGAGCCCTGGACCCGGGTCAGGCGTGGGGAGGAGCAATTAATTGGACTGGCCAAGGTGGGATGCAGGCTCCATACTTACTACTGGCCTAAAGTCACTTAACCTCCATTTCTTCACTGCCGAGAGGGCCTAACAGCTACCGACCTCCTGGGTTACTTAAGGTGTAAATGAGATGATTGGCATTGGCGCCTGGCATCGGGCCTGGCTCATAAGTGTGGGATAAGTATTAGCTACTATCGCTGTTGTCACGATTGTGATCGTTATTGTTTTGACTCTAATGCTGAGTGGTTTTGCGGCCTGGGAGATGAATTTTTCTCCTGAGCTTCCATTTCCTGCCTCATGAGGTGAGCGGTGTTGGCGGCGCCACCCATAAGGATCCCTGTAGCTCTTGTGACCCGGTGACTTTTGCTGCATCACGTTCACGTGGTACTAGGTCCCAAGGACACTGCTGGCATCTGGCTTCATCCACAGACATTTCTTTCTCCAGGGTGGTTTCCCAGCTCCAATATTCAGTCTTATTGTCAGGAGCAACTAGAAAATGGGAGGTACGTTTGACACCCAGACATGAGGAATGGATGACAGTCTAGCTGATCGGCTGATGCCTTTGGCTGAGAAATCTAGTCTTCTGCTCTTGGTCTTCTGAACCCAAAGGGGGAAAAAAAGAGTGCTCTCAGCTCCTTTTTCAGCCGGAGAAGCAGCCAGTGGAGCAGTAACATGGCCTTACCAGGAGGGAGCCGAAACAAAAGCCAGTAGCTTCAGGAATCGACATTGATAAACTTTCAGCCTGTCATGGAACACCGGCTGCACCCTTTTCGGTCCTGATCCCTCCCATGGGATTCCTGGCCCAGGGTCTCTGGATTCCAGGAGCCCATAAAGGGTAATAATTAAGGTCTGTCTTAGTTTCCTAGGATTGCCATCAAGTACCACACACTAGGTGACTTAAACAACAGAAATTTATCCTCTCGCCATCTGGAGACTGGAAAGCTGGTGTGTTGGCTGTGGGGGAGACTCTGTTCCCACTTCTGGGGCTGCAAGCGATCCTTGGCATTCCTTGGCTCGTCGAAGCACCGCCTTTATCATTACATGGTGTTCTATGCCCGAGTGTCCCCAGACTCGAAGGTCACCAGTCATACTGGATCAGGGCCACCCTAATGACCTCATTTTAACTTGCCTCAGTCAAGGAATTTTCAAGTAGAGTCACATTCTGAGGTACTGAGGATTGAGTCTTCAACACATCTTTGGAGGAGAGGGACACACTTCAACCCATAACAAGGTCTTTGGATTATTTTAATCACTTCAAAATACATAAGAATTAAACATTTCTACACACTGACTCTTAATGAATCCTGTGTGTACGTCATCAGCCCAGAATCTAGAGATCGCCTGGATTTGAACCCTCGCTCTGCCACTTACTAACTGTGTGATCTTGAACAAGAGATTTAGCCTCTTTGTGCTTAGTTTTCTCACCTAGAAGATGGGAATGATAATACTTATACCTCCAAGGGTTACTATAAACATTACATAAAAGTACACTTAAAGTCATCTTATTGTGATTACTGTTATATATATCCTGCCATGTTTGGAAAATACTCCATCTAATAAAAACGATGAAAGCATGTGGAACACTAACCGTGTACCAGGCGCTAGTCCAAATGCTGGTCCATATGTCAACTTATTTAATCATCACAGCAGCTCTGCAAGGTGGATGCTATTATCATTCCTAGTTTACTGAGTCCTAGACAGAATAAGTCACTTGTGTACAGTCTCACGACCAGCAAATGGAAAAGTCAGGACATAAATCCAGGTTTGTCTGACTCTGGGGCCTTTTAGGAGCCACTGTGGCTGGCTGCCTCTGCAAGAACAATAAAGGGACTTGTAATGATGAAAAGAGTCACAGACCACCTCCTTCACTTCCCCAGAAAGCCATCCTGTTTTCAAAGGCCTAATTCTGGAAGCTCTTCCCGTAATGTCAGACTGTGCTCAGGAAACACTTTACAACAAGCCCTGAAACAATGATTCGTAAAGATTTGTGCACCCCTATGTTTACGGCGGCACAATTTACAATAGCCAAGATATAGAAGCAACCTAAATGCCCATC